CCCTGTGGTCCATACTTTGTTCGTTTTTCGCTTAGTTATCTATATTTGCGAAATGAATGCTAATGAATTCGATTGAGGAGTTTTGTAATCTCTCTGCCATATCATTTTATAGAACCTGATGGAGCCTTTATTGAAGGTCTCAAAAGCCTGACGTCGGCAACTTGAACCACGTCGGCGGCACCAAATTAATCATGCAATTGCGCAAAATTGCTACTAAGTTCATATCTGCCTCTTATTCTTGGATAGTGGCTTGAAGGAAAGATCGCAAAATACTGAAATAAACACTAGGGAAAGAACTAACTATTAAATTCTCACATTCTTTACCTTGGGCATCAATTAATTACTTCAAATAACCTGTCAGCCTATAAAAGCTGTTTTAATGGGTAAAACTAGTTTCTACATTTGTTATCCTTGATAGGTGATTGAATAAAGGCCTTCCTGTGATGGTCTAGGCTATAAAAACATTATAGATTTCCATTACTGGCTTATTTTGTATCTGAGTAGCCTTTTGGCATTTGGCTTTGCTTTAGCATGTGTGAGTTACTATTTTTATTGTGCTGAATATTTTACTGACACAAATTGCCTATATGGCTGCAGGAATTTAAACTTTTAGGTCTACTGAAAGTTTTTGCTTTCTAACATTTCTTCTGAGCCACGAACTCTTCGCTTGATCCATATTATCTTTTGCAGTTCGATGGATCATTATCATTTCTGTCCACTACCCACGCCGTAAATCCATCTGGACTATCCAATAGTGTTAAAATGGATATATTTCACTTTTCCTAATACTAATTGGTCTGATATTTGCACTTCCAAATCTCGTCCGTAGTTTCAATTATGACAGTAATTGATACTAATACACTTTCTTTAATGTGATAGAGCAAGACTAGAGTAAGTTGTCATACTGCGTAAGCAGACTACTAGAGTTTTTCTCTATTGAACTTTATTTTCTATCCATATTTAATTTTTTGTTATTATTTTTTTGAAACTTAACATTGTAATTGGAAATATTAGCTGGAAGACATAGAGGAACTTTTGATGAATCAGAACAATATTACTAATAATATGTGTTTGGCTTCGCGCTACCGTATAGAGTACCCCAGCTTTGTATAGAGGAACCATGCGGCAATGATATGGTAGTTGAGGTAGTTTCTGACCTAAAATACTCGTGTGCTTTTAGTACCACGTTCTGATTGGTTCAAAGTAAAGGCTCGATGCGGTGACTAGATTTGCCTAATCTTGGTGACACACAATGTCGATCAGTCATGCTCCATGAGATGTAGCCAAACTGACTGGAGTAAAGCTACTAGAAACTCACTAGAAGAACTGATATAAGCACCAATACTTCCCAAATATTTAAACATTCCTTTTTTGCAAATGGTTTGTCCTACCAATTAATTCTGCTATAGCTCTTGCTTTCCAACTCTGAACTATTATTATTTATTATATCTTTGTTTATAAAGCACTTAAATAGATAGTTTGGCTATCTGAAAGACGCTGTATGCCATCCACTGTTCATAAACACAGTCCATAAGACCACTTTTTTGGTCATTTCTTGTCTGCTATTTTAAGGTCGTCTTCATGGCAGCAACTGCGCAGTAGTATTTAACGAAAATGAACCCGAGCTGAGTTACCAGCTGTCAGTTAAATTGAGTATTATCTTATTTTTAAGCACTAAAGTAAATATGTTGCTTCTAAATTGTTTACTTCACATGTAGAATCTAGAAATCTCCCTTCGTGGGTCCCCATAGGCGTTTTGATCATCTGGAAGATCACAATGCCCGTATCCGAATATTTGAATGCAACCTTTTAACAATTCATCGTTCATTCCTTTCTTATTTAGCCGCTGACTTATCTAGCTGGTGGATCCCATCTGCTGAAGAAATGCGGGCCCTTTCCCGTCAAGCTCAACGCGTTGCGGCCCTACAGATCCCCTTCGAGCCTCTACTTATCAGTCAAGATTTAGGTTCTCTTATCTGGAACCCAGCTCCAGAAGCTAACTATTGTTCTTCCTTTCAACGTCAGTTGTCTCTGCTGCGCTGGGAATTATCAGCTTTAGAGAAGCCCAAAAACGACTATGTATACGAAAAATACCACGCACAGCTTTCTGGCCGCCCTCAGGATCATATATGTCTCTATCGTTTAGATGACCATATACAGGTATTGGCTTGCCTACTCTATTTTTCACTATACATTTTCTGACCTCTTGATTCACAATTTGCCTCCTAGAGTGTTTGGGTTCCTTAGGATTGTCACTTTGAATTGTGATGGTTTTAACTTGGTAATGCTTTCAAGACTTGGGCGTGTTTTTTTAATTAATGGTCTCATTCTAAATATTGATCCCCACTTATAATTTTACTCAAATTATATTATTTTCTAATTTGCTAAAAATAATGTTCTCCAAAATATGATTATATTTGTTTGGATTGCATTCTTTGCTACCTCTCCTTGAGTGAAAACGGGCAAAGTTTATTAGAATTGTACATATTATTTTTAAAGCTTTGCTAAAAACAACATTTTATTAGAATAACCAACGCATTAGCTGGAAAAGTTATTAGTTTAATTTGGGAAATTTTGCTTGATGCTATAGTCCCGGACACGATTTTAGTCTATTTTATTGACTTACATAATTAGCACAATTTATTGTTCTATAAGATTTATAAGGCTAATTGTTGTTGCTCTTACTTGTTTTGACTGGTTTAGATAACTTAGTGTTTGGTATAGGATTTGGCTCTGTTATTTGATATTTCTCGTAATATTTTCGTCTCGATTCTCAATTTCCTTATTTATTAATACAATCAGTTACACAAGAAGTACACGTCAGAAATAGCTACGCATCAATATGCATATATTTAATAGTATATACCATGAATAGTTGTTTTGACATACCATATTTTATGGAATTCTTTTTCGTCAAGTTTCCATTATCTTTGTCGTCATCGGTTTCATACTTCTTTGAATCAGCTCCATCCTGGCCCTGTAATCTCTTCTGCTGGTCTTATTGGTCGATTCAGCGTGACTTCATTCCGACCACTTGGTTTGCTGAATCTAGCGTCACTAGATCCAATCGAGGTAGCTGATTCCGGAGATGGACTAGTTCATAGCGTTTATCGAGTGACAGGAGTTGCCATTCCCACAGCCTTTACCATACACTTCACGACCTTCGAGGTGCTAAGAAGCCGCGCCAAGCAGCATAATGCCAGTATTCCTGATGCACCAACTTATTTATTGCCACTCACCTGATCTCACCAATCCTCCATCCATATATTTAAGTCACAACTACCCATGTTATAATGCTCCACATCGCCTTCTGCCTTGGTTATCTGTATATTTCCTCTGTAAAATTATCCAGTTCTTGTGCTTTGACAGAATAAGTCAGTTGGGTTGTGATTAGTTTCATAGTTAAGTAGAGAATGAAGATTCTTCTGCAGCCTCTATCTTGATTCTTTTGTCAATTACAAATAATACACATGTATTGAGTAGGCTTTTATACTACTATAGATCTTGGTATAAGAACTGTACTAACCATATATCGTCCAAGGTGCTGAAAGACTGATAGTTGAATTTTCCTACAGCGCTGTTGGTAGGTCTACGATGTCATGTAATTTCATTCAGCAATGTTCTCCAAAAGTTACTATCACCCGAGGCTAATTCCAATTTAGAAATTTTTATATTCTGAGATCCAATTGAAATATCGAAACCTACCCAAACCAATATAGGTAATTTAAACGACCGCACTGACAAACAGAGGTACCTCTTCTGCATTCCACTACAATCATGACATAGGAGCCTGACTCGCCTTAAGAGGCATACTTGCCCTGTGGCCCGCTTGCACTCATGGCAGCATCGGTAATATGAGCCACACTAATTTGTTTCGATTCCCAGTTATGATAAATTCCTTGGCATGATGAGACTCATCATTCCATATAATTGTGAGAAGATTATATCAGCTTGTGCAACCTAGAGTTGACACAATTCCCACCT